AGACAAGAGATGATCTCTTAGCACAAAATGTCTCACCATGTTTTTAGAAATTACTAGTTATTAAAGATAAGGCTAAGAGATGACCCATTGTATACACTTTTTTTTATCATTTTTAAATTACATGCAAGACTTAAGATAAGACTATCTTATCAACCATTGTACATGCCCTAAGAAGATCCAAGTATTGGCCACGATCGTTTTCTTTCTTCCACATGAAGAAAGAAGAAAGAGGACCTTTGGCTAGGGTTTCTTGTGCCTTCCGTCCGTGTCGTCGCTGGTCTACCTCATCTCCTGTGGTTTTATGGGCACGAGTAAATAGCATAAAACTACTACAATTCGGGTTAGGGTTTCAAAAAACTACCGGATTTTATCTTTTCGCTGATAACTACTAACTCAAGGGTCGGCTCTTTCAAAAAACCCAAATCACCATGTGTTATATAATTGATCATGTTTATGACAGGTCGGACACACCCCTAAGCAAACCGTTTGTTTGACTGTTATGTTTGACCGTTAACTTACATGTGGGGCACACATGTAAGTTATCTCTTCCTCCTCTTTTCTTTCTTCTCTCCTTCTCCTCCCCTCCCCTCCCTGTGAACTCTGTCTCTCTCGAGCACGGCGCCCACCTAGCCCCTCCCTAGCCGGCGACCTTCTCCTCTCCCAAGCCGGCGACACCCCTCCCCGGCCTCCCTCTCTCCTCCGCTGCCAGAAGCCACCGGCTCGCCGCCGCCGAAAGCCAGCAGCTCCGACGACCGGCGCATGCGCCACATCATCCGGGGCGCCGCCGAAGTCACCACGCGCCGCACCAACTCGAGTGTGGCGCCGCCGGCCGCGGACACGCGTCGCACCAACTCATGACGGCATGGCTCGGTGGCTGCAAGGAGCAGCAGCAGAGGTTGTCGCGGCTCGGCGGCTGCAAGGAGCAGCAGCAGAGGCTGTCGTTGTGGCCAAAGAGCAGCAACAAAGGCCTGCAGGTGGGCGGCGACGACATGGAGCAGTAGCAGAGGCCTGCAGGTGTGCGGCGGCGGCATGGAGCAGTAGCAGAGGCCGTTTGGACGGCATGGCATGACAGCGGCAAGAAGCAGTGACCCGATTGCTTTTCGAGAAAAACTACATGGAGCCGATTGCTTTTTCAAAAAAATTGCAGGGGCCCGATTGCTTATTATGAGGAAGAGACACTGACATGTGGGTTCCACTTATAAGTTAACGGTCAGACTAACGGTCAAATAGACTATTCGTTTAGGTGTGGACATGACATGTCATAATCGCGATCAATTGTAAAGCACTAGGTGATTTGGATTTTCTGAAACAATCGGGCTCTGAGTTGGTAGTTATCAGTGAAAAAATAAAATCCGGTAGGTTTTTGGAACCCTACCCCGAATTGTAGTAGTTTTATGCTATTTACTCTATGGGCATGGAGGCGTGGTAGATCCCGGCCTTTGCCGGCGGGAAGGCTTCATTTTTTTTTCACGCTTTTTTGAGTTTTGTTAGGGTTTCTCTCCTACTCAGAGAGGAGAGACGACGACGATCTCTGATGAAATAAGATTCTCCCTGCCTAGTCCTCATCCCTGCCTAGTCCTCATCGAGATTCGGTCGGCGTCTGTCTTCGATGGATCCTTCTGATCTACGCTTCTCTTCATCGGCGGAGATTGCTATTCTGGTGCGCTGGTCTTGTGGGGCCTTAGGACGACTCATGACTGTCTACTAGAAACAAGTTTTGTCTGGCTCCGATGAGGGAGAGACGAAGACCGCGGCGCACCATCGACTTGCTCCAGTGCTTGTAGTCGTCGCTAGGTGGTCTACGGAATGGTTAGGTGGACAACGGTATCCCCAGCCCATCAGGATTCAAGTCTTGGTGCTCGCATTATTCCCGGATTTATTTCAGAATTTCCAGCGATGCGCTTTCAGTGGGAGGGGTCGCTCTCGTGCACGTCGAGACGCCTACGATGACTTCGTAAATCTCAAGATGATATGACGGCTCAATCTTTCAAAGGTGCCCGTAAGGATAAGATATGCGTGTGTGTTCATAGAGGTGAGTGTTTGCGCGTATATATGCCAGCGCATCTCCAAAAAATCACCTCATCTCGTGCATCTTGACGCGATGAGATATCTTAGATCCCATCTGAAGGTTTGTTTCTTCTCATCTCATCTGGCACGATGGACACTGAGTGACCGGAGCATGCTCCATCCAGCACGAGGTGCCAGCGCGCGTGGGTGGGTCTGATCCGATCGATCCCACGGTCCACGGCGACATCGACGGCCGGGCTGATCTGCCGCATCAACTGGGCATGGATTCACGTGCACGTACGGGCCCGACGGGAAGCGCCAGCCAGCCAACGTACACCACGGCCGCCGCAGCAGCAGCATGGCCACTGCCCAAGACCACTGTTTTCAGTAAACTGTGACAAGAAGGTCTATGAGGCTGCCATCTTTAAGCGCTAGTTTTAAACTTCGCATATTAGATTTCTGTCCAAGTCAAACTTTGTACAATTTGACCAAATATATATTAAAAAATATGAACATCTATCTTACCGAATATATATTTCATGAAAGTACATTTCATAATGAATCTAACAATATTGATTTGGCATTGTAAATTTTCATACTTTTTTCGATAAGTTTGGTCAAAGTAGAGATGCTTTGACTTTAAACAAAACTTGTATGCAGACTAAAAAACCCGGAGGAAGTACTTGATGGGTCGCGGCGTTGCACTTGCACATGGGAGCAACGTCGAATACGCTGGCATTGCACTTGCACATACATCAGCAACCCGCTATGGACTTTTGAAAATTGCACGGAAAAAAAGGTTGGACCGTGTTCAAAATTTCTGGCAGAGGTCATTTTGTGCTCGGCATTCCCCAAAGGGTCAAACGTGTGTAGCTAGCTAGCATGTGTTTTCAAATTGTTGTTTTTTTCCTTGACAGATAGCAGCGGAGGAAGCGGATCCGGTCGACGACGCGAGCGGATGCCACATGCGCATCACATGCATGCATCCATCCATGCGTAACATGACAAGACATGCTTGCGCCTGCAGGGAAACAAACAAGCACCAACACACCTGTACTGCTTACTTATACGATGATATAACAGAGCAAACAAAGCCAGGAGCCTAGCTGCTACTTGATCGGATTCCCCTGCATTTGATCAAACGGAGGAGGCATTGGCAAGCAGCTATGCGCATGGCATGGCATGTGATGGTCGACATGGATCAGATTCAGAGATCGCTACCTACTGCTACTGCTGCTACTGCTACTTAAATTACAAGTGCTAGCTGTTAATCGGTTCATAGGCACTCCTGCTACTTGTTTATGCTCCTGCATGAGGCGCGAGCCGATCCATCCAAATTGCGTTTCGTCGTGCATGCCAGATAGATAGATAGGTAGCTGCCATCGGTGGATCGGCATCTAGCTAAGCTCCGGCCGGCCGTCGATTGATGGGACCGATGCGAGCATGCATTTGTGTACCTGAAAGGACAACCTAAAGCTAGAGCCAGCTGATCCGTCGATCCAGTTAGCTAGAAATCTGTTAGCACGTGCATAAGATTTGATTGGATTGGATCTTTTATTTTGGTATTACAAGTGGGAAGAAGAAGAAGGAGAACAAGTCATTAGCGTACGTGGGCATGCTGAGAATGAGGAAAATGGAACACAAAGATAAAAAAGATGGGCTAAATCAGACGTATGTTTCTCTGAATAAGAGATATTTATAACCCCAACGGTAATTTTTGTTATATAAACATTCCTCAAGAATCAACGTTACTTCCTCAACTTTTCTGAACCGTCTGTCGTTCACCGTGAGGGCATGCCAGTGATGCCATGCCTGCATGCTCACGTGATGGCCAGATCCACAAGAGAGTAGTTGACTCCATCTCAGATTCAGATCGTCGTGCTGTATTAGTACTCACCCATGTATTTATTTATTCTATTGATCGAATAAAAGGGATCATTTGTAAAACAGTAGCATCAGAGGGCATTTGGTCTAGTGGTATGATTCTCGCTTAGGGTGCGAGAGGTCCCGAGTTCAATTCTCGGAATGCCCCCATTTTTCTTTTTTTACCACCCCTCTTTTGCATATATTCGAATTTACAGATAATGGAAATTTAGTCTGTGCAAATGGTCTTAAATTCAAATATTCTTCCCCCATCATGGCCATGATGTTAACTACAACCAATGTATGCGCCTCTTCTCTTCTCTGAATGCTGGCGGCATCATCTTCTTCGTTGGAGCTCAGTTTGTTAGCTACAATGCATTCTCCCACGAACCAAGGCAGGCGGTACTTAGAAACCTAATATTAATATTCTTTACTTTATACTATTATTTTTTGAAATGGCCAAAGGCCCCAAAAAGCTATTCAAGTCACTGCTATCAAGATAATCGGCTCATAGTCGGACTCTTTCTTGAGAGGGACAAAATCACTGTTTCCCTTTTTCAAAAGTTTACATATATATATATATATATATATATATATATATATATATATATATATATCCAGGAAAATATTAACCATGTAATTAAGTCACAAAAGGTAACTAATTTACAAATATATATCCAGGAAAATATTAACCATCCATCACATTTAGCTGGCCCTAGGAGAACGAATCTTCAACTCGTTTCTATAAAAAAAACGTACACCAAAAATAGCATGAAATTACTCCCAACACACAACCAAGGTTCAGCAATCAAGCAATTGTCTAACACGTAGCTGGTGCAACTATGCCTGAGAAAACACGGTGCTGACACAAAAAAGGGTACAACTCAAGATTTACGACCAACTAAACAACATAGATTAAACAAACAACCTAGAAAAGAGATTAATTGAATAACAATTTCAACGATTACATCGGAATAAATTATGATTTGGCTCAAAGAACACGATGCATGAATACAACGATGCACATAGATGGATATAATAATTTCAAGAAATTTACTGAATGTTTCATCCAAACCACTCAAACCAAATAAATACGAGATGAGATCGGCGCATGTAGCTGGCCTCCTGGCTTACATGGGAGGGAAAGGACTCGAACCGAACCCCATATCAAAGGACTGCATCTGCATCATCATATCACTGCTAGAGAAGTTGGCGCCGGCGTAGCCACCATAGACCAGGGTGTCGAGGTCCCCTCCGGAGCTCACCATGTCAAGTCGGCTCTCCTGCTGAGGTGGTGCCGGATACAACGCTGGAGACCCCATGTCTATGCTGCCGGTAGCGACACATGGAGCTGGTGGCAGCGTCCGAGAATGGATTTTTGACATGCGTTCGCTAATGCTCTTGAGAAGCACGTCCACCTTGTAGCCAACTTTGGTGAGCTCCTTGATGTTGAGGCCAACGAGGCCCGAGAGGTCACCATGCATGGTTTTGTGAAGGAGGTACCTAATCTTGCCGTCCTCGTACTCGCGCTGGGTCTTGTCGACCTGCTCCCGGAGCTTGTCAATGTGCTTGCTGATGAAGCCCTTCTGGTTCATCACCTCCTTCCACTGCACCATCTCCGGCATGCTTTTGAATCGATTCATGATACCCACTGCCTCTGCCTGCGAAGGGAACACCTCCGGCGCCGCCTTGCCCTCCTCGTACACCAGTACACAGGTCTTGGCATCACACAGGACGGCTAGTTCGTCCGCCTTCTTCATCAGCCCCTTGAGGCGCTTCTTGAATCTATTACGTCGGGTTGAGTCATGGGGGATGTATTGGAGGGTCGCCTTGCGAGCCACCTTCTTGCGAGTCATTGCTGGCAAAGGGATAAAACCAGCGAAGGGAAGGAAAGTTGCTGGTTTCGGCGAGGGAGGAGGGGTGGATTTATAGTGGATGGATGGCCTAGCGAATAATTTCATGATATGGTAAGAGATTACGGTGACATGTACCAAGAAGATTGCCTTATTTAGTACCTATGAACGCGATCGAATATCTAGCAGATCTTCGACCCGACCTTAATTGTGTCTATTTGTAAATTTGGCGTCCATTTAAACCTACTAAATTGGGAGTGGTAGCGATGATCGTCCCCCTATACCACGCGAGCGAGATATATCATACACACGCTAATGGTTTCCACGTGATGCGTCCGTTCGCGCTTGAACGCTTCACATGCTACACATGCCATCCCACTAAACCCATCAAGCCGTGCAAATGAATGGGCCGAACACAAGCCTTGCTCGTATCAGTTAGGCCGAACAAATACACTAATTTTGTATCAAATTAGTAAAAAAAATGCTCGCACAAAAAGAACACATTGCTTGAAGGAACAAAAAAGCTCGGAGGAAAAATAAAAAATTAACCGGCTCAAATCCTATGACACTAACTCTCGTATTACTATGATTTTTCTATGTCTTTCACCAACCAGATAACAACACGACAAGCTCAGAAAACACATGACAAAGAAAGGATCCATTTCATTTATCAGAAAGTTGCCATGTTTGATTAGTTGTGGTTGACACTAAGATGAGATAAACAACAACACAAGTTGACATGTTTTGTGCACTCCAAAAGAACATATAAAACAAATGAAAAAGATTGTAATGACTTTGATAATAAAACTGCGAGATAACCAGGAAGACACACACACACACACACACACACACA